TCCCTAAAAGCCTTGTGTTGTCCCTGTTACTTCCCTCGGCATCCTTTCCCATTGCCTTGAGAATTTGCGTTTTACCAGCCCTTTATTCCTTCCCAGAGGTTAGCTACAAATTGTACTTTCCCTTCTTCTACAGCCAGTTATTTTTTTTTTTACTAGACTGAAAAGATAAAGCTGGATTTACTTACGCTGTTTGCCCCAGCTGTTCTGTAACGTAAAATAGAGTGGCATTTACTTTTTCTTCTCTGCTGCTGGGTGACAGCCCCAGCTGAAGCTGGAAGTCGTCGTGTTTGCCCAAGTATCCAGCATCCCTGCACCAAAGCACCTCCCTGCGCTGCTGGAAGAACTGAGGAGAGAATAGCTTGCTGAAAAGGTTTGTGAAACCTTTGCTGTGGGAACAGACCGGAAAAGTGCCGAGCGGTTGGCATGAATGTGCAGGGGAAGATGTGACTTTCGGAGGAGCGAGGCCGGTGTGTCGGCTGGAGGCTCAGAGCCCGGCTCGGGCAGCTCACTCTGCCGTCGGGCTCTGCATGGAGAAGTGGGAGCTTGATTGGGACCTTCCCTTTTCAAATGTGAGAAGTTGATAACTGGCTAAAAAACTTTTTTTAACCAAGTGGCACTTAGGTGGAAGTGTTTCTTTTCTGCAGGCACCCAAATTCGTAACAAAAATTGAAGTTGGTCAGAACTGGAAAACACTCAGGACTTTTGCTGAGATGTTTCTGCTTTCAGTTTAAGGAAAAGGTTTTTTCACAGAAAACTAAGTTAATTGACTCGCCACCGATGCCTGGTTGCTATCTGCTCCTGCAGGTTTGGGCTGTGTGTTTATATGGATGTGCTGATGTTTCGTTCATCCTAAAGTTAAAGTGGTTCCTGGGGAAGGTGAGTGGGACACAGCAGGTTAAGCATTTTTTTCACAGATATAAGAAATATCTTCCTGTAGTTTCTTAGAAAACAAGAAATCTGCTATCAGGGCACACGCAGCTCCCACTGAAGCAGCTTCCCTGCTTATCTGAGAGTGCAGCTGCATGAATAAACACATGAGCCTACAGCACTTGAGTGCCTGAGCCCTCGAGACTCCCAGTAGCATGCTGGTAGCCTTGGCCTGAACAGCCCTGACCTGTTAACAAGAGCTTGTTGTCCCGGGAAAGTCTTCAGCTGATTTACTAATGGAAAGAAATGCCTCACTTGGACCAAAAGATCCTGAGGTGTGCCAGGGCAATCCTGAAGCAGCAGTCTGGGGAAAAGGAATGAGTTACTTCATTAATGTTGAGTTATGTTTGTTGTGATGAGCCCCAGGAAAGATCTGGGTTTCAGCTTTATAGTTTTTTTCTCCTCCCCCCACCCCAGTGCATTAAAAAAGCAGAACCAAGCCCAAACTCTGTGACAGCACCAAAGAAATTCCAAGCAATTTGTAGTGAAGCAGCCCTTTAATAATGGGACATTCCATAGGAAAGCACAAGTGAAACTTCTGGCGTAGTGAAGAAATCTCGGTGTTTGGCTGCAAAGAGAGGAGAGCGGTCCAAGATGAGCGAGCTGCAGCACGGCTCGCTGCGCTGCTGCTGAGCACCGAGGGTCCAGCACCCCCCAGCCCGTTCCCCACTGCTTCAGCCTTCGAGTGCAGCGATGTGCAGGACCTGGCAGCAGCTTTAAATACCTCACTCCGAGTCTGTTTATGTTCTGAGAACTACCAGCGTTTTGTTCATCGATACTTTTAGGTGGGACAACCAGTAGCTTCCACTTCACTAGTGTGACTACCTATGCCCAAGCAATTTACTGGAGTCACAAGTGGGGGCTGAGGGCTTTGCCCCTGGTGTGCAGCCTCCCATCTACAAACTGGGAGTAGGATCTGCTAAGCCACAGCTCTGGATATGGACACAGGATGTAATTCCTCAGGTGACCCTTTGCAAGGGAAGCAGGATGCTGATTTTCTCTCCCTTCTTGACGGGGCCAATGATGGGTTTGATGTAAAACATCTTAAGGCAGAATCCTGTTGTCAGTGAAAAGAGGGGGAAAACAATGCTCCTATGAAATGGTTTAAGAGCCTGGCAAAGTCATAATGTTCAGTAGCGAATACAAAGGACAATAAAATGGTAAGAGATGCAGCAGCAGCAGAAGTTACAGAAAATGCTGTGATGCTCCTATAGCATCAAGAAGAGAGAACAGGAAAAGAAACAATTCACATGGAGGACAGTGGGGAAGGGGATTAAGGTGGGTAAAACTGCAGGAGCAATTCAGAGGCTGTTCCTTTAATTATCCAAAATGTACAAAGGAACCAGCTTCAGCCTTTGACATTTTTAATAGAAGTGAGATGCTGTAATCCTTGCCATCAATTTTCCTTTGAAAGTTACAGTTTTTGCTTGGGTTCGGGTGCAAGTGCACTGCAGTTTGGGTTGAGGTCATGATTTTTGGCTCAGTTCAAAGCTCTATAAATGAATCAGAGCGTTTTGCAATCAGGCTTTGCGAGACACACATCTTGCAACTCTGGTACCTGATCCTGAAAGCCTTTGTCGATGGCATTACCATTTCCATAGGGGTGTACACCACGAGCTGTCCTCACGCACCATGTCCTCTCCCCTGTGCTTCCTCCTGCCTCTGAAGAAGAGGAGCAGGGCAGCTTAGCCCGTGCCAGAGCTCCTGGCCAGCTGGAAGATAGGATAATGTAAGGGAAAGGGAAGATACTGTTTTACAACCCCTAATATTGTTAGAAAACAAAGGGCAAACTCCAGGGACACAGCACCAAGTTTAAATCTCTCTGGGTTTTGCTGAGCCCTGTGGATATTTTCCCAGAGGTTTTTAGTCTCTGGGAGCTCTGGCTGTTCCATGCCCATTTTTCCGTGCTTATTTTGATTTTAAGGAAGTTTCAGGTGCAGCCATCTCCCGTCATCCCAGCCCAAGACCTGGGGTCGCTGTGCCCGCCGCAGCCCTGGGAGTCACAGCCTCTGGTTTTGTTTGCAGGTTGACTTGAGTGGATTTTCACTCGTCGTGCGGCTGCAGCAGCTGGGAAAGAAGAAAGGAGAAGAACAGAAGATGAAACCCGTGAGCTAGACAGGGGATTAGCAGCCTGTGTTGTTTAATCAATGGCAAGGTCCTTTAGACCTTTGCCGTAGCCATGGATCAGGCTTCAGGGAACTGGAAAGCTGTTCATCTTTCAGTGCAAGTTAATTTGAGGGATGCAATGAAACAGCTTTTTTGTGTTGTTTTATGCTTTGTCCAATGATGTTTGAGGGTACTTCAAACAGCGACTTCAAAGCAAAAATTCAGAACAAGTAGAACTGGAGGGGACATCATGCAGTGATCCAGTCCCGTCCCATTGCCCCCGGGCAGGTGTGCTTCCTTCACGTGGCAGATGTGGAGCTGGAGCTATGGGATGTCCCTGCCTGGAAGGTGACATCCAGGATCTTGGGATACTGAACTGTAACTGTAAAAAACAGGGCTGAGAGAGACCCAAGTCCATTTCTATTCCTTAATGTGGGATCCAGTCAAAATTAAAAGCTGTCAGCTACCTTTTGCTAATTACATTTTCCATCTCCCAGTGTTTCTGTATTGCTGTGTCAAAGTAACATCCTCATATTTTTTTTTTCCCATTCTCCAGCTGTCATCACCCACAGTCAAACTCACGCGGTGATGCTGAGAGAGGAGGACGTTTACAGGTCAGAAGGTGGGAAAGGCAACCCCTGACTTGGTACAAGGCTCCAACAGCCCTGCTCCTCCCACCAAACTACTAGGGTTTCCCGTGGGATGCTGCGGCAGGAAGCAAGGAGTTGAGGTGTATTCGCGTGTGTGAACAGCTTGGCAGGCACCATCCCCACTGGGCTGTGGGATTGCACACAAACAAGGGAAATGATGTGCTGGCACTGAAGGTCTGGTGCTAAAAGGGTGCAGGAAATCTCTAATGCCTTCCTCAAGCAAAACAGCCCTTTGTGCTAGGTAGTTTTAATTTAATGAATTGTGTATTCTTTGTGAAATCAAAGATGATGACATTAAAGACAAGCATCTCTGGGAAGACTCTGCTCAGGAGGCTGATGTTTAAGTAAAAGGCTTTTAGGAAAAATGCATGCTGTTAGTAATGGATATGTCTCAGCTGATCCTTTCTTATTCAGCCGAAATTGTTACTCCGACAAAATTTTGCCACGACTCTTTGCCATATCTAAAAAGGATTTTTTCTGTGGAGGTTTCTGTGAAATGTGAGAGGGGTTATTTTCAAAGACAAAAAAATCAGTTCCTACATCCTTACAGACATGCGTCATTAGGAAAAGAAGAAAGACAGAAGCAAAAGAGAAAGAAAAAGAAGGTGGGTTGCAATGGGCAATGTTTACAAGGATTCAGCTAACTCACCACGGGAGACGGCAATCGCGGGGACTGCTGTGACCGCGCATTCTCGTGTGCCTGGAGAGCTCTGCTTTCCAAGTGAAAGCTTTAAAATACTTTGCTTTCTATTTATACACCCCAACAGAGGCTCTATCCAAATTTTTCCAGCCAATCAGAACATTTATGCGGCCTCGGTTCTTGTGCTGGCGGATTCGGGCCAACAACAAGAACTGGGAGCAGCCCTCGCGGCGAACCGCCGGCCTGGCTACTTGGCGGTGTAGAGGTTCCATCCCATTTAGCAATAGCAGCTACGTGGTTGCGTTCGGTTTTGTTTACAACGCGAGCATGAATATTAAACCAAATTTTAAGGCCAATTTGCAACTATTCCTGCCTGTTGCACAATCCTGAAGTTTAGCAAATTAACTTGGGTGGAGAAGGGGAAAAGAGTTCAAATGAACTTTAAAACGTACCTGGGCAGAGGGATATCTTGCCCTCCCACCTTGGCTGTTGCTTCACGGAAAGAAGTTCAGCCAGGTGGACACAGCTCTGTGCCGTGCCTCACGCCCGACCCCGTGCTGGAAATATCTGATTCGGTGAGCCATGAAGCCTTTGTACCCCGTTTTTGTTAGCCGGGCTCATTAATGCACCCCAGATATCACCATGTTGCTGATGAACGTTCAGCATTAACAGTGGGAGAGACGCGTTTACGGGCTTCTCTGCGCCTGAATGGAAAATGTTATAAACCCTATAATATTGTGGCTGAGAAAAATTACAGGAAATTGAAGAGAACGCTGGAGCACGAACAAGGCCACCTCAGGAGCTGTTTCTGGGAAGGGAGGGAATGCGATGCCCTGGTTTACAGCCAGGAGCTGGAGATTGTTTGTCTTCTCAGCTCTTTGGCCACCTGGTCTGTGCCCCTGGGAGGCACTGACCCTTTTGTTTCCTTGTGTAACGAAAACCCAGAGCCCAGGTTAGACACAGCTTTGGGTCAGGGCTGTCAGCCAGGATGCTGTGCCCTCGCTGCCACCTTTGTGGCACCAGATGGGTGAAGACTGGCCTTACATCCCGAAACTGAACCAAGCGCAGTTCGGCTGCACAGGATTCAAACCCATCTTTGCCAGTGATGGAAGCATCAGCTGCTGATGGATGCTGCTGAACAGAAGCTGTATGTCACAGAAAAAGAGGGTGATCCCATCAGGATGTCTTCAAATCACACGTGCTGCCTTCTCCTTTCCCCTTCTCACCATGACGTGTCATCCAGCCATGTCACTTATGTCTGTCATCCAGTAACAGTGGAACAGCTTGGCTTGGACACAGCCAACACCTGAATCAGCTGGAGTCTGGCTGGAGTGGGCTTCATGGCCCAGTGGAGACCGTGAGGGATGTTTCAGCTCCAGACAACCCACTGTGAACCAGCAGGACAAGGAGGACAGTCATGCCAGTCCTGCTACATGGAGAGGTTAAACCCGCTGTCTCCTTCCCACGCTCCCATTTGAATCCCTGCGGGATTTTTTCCCCAGAAGAAACACTCCTGGTTTACTGTTTTCCTGCTCATCTGATGTCAGATGTAGAGAGGGTGAAAATCTATTGGACAATAACATTTTGAAACAGTATGTTCAGGCAGAGTGTGTAGGAAAAAATATGACAGTAGCTAGTGCTCTGTGCCCAGGGCTCAGCTAAGCCAACCCAGATAAAACTGCATTATCTCAAATTCATTTTGTTTAATTACTAATTTTGTTAATTGAGGTCGAAGAGGAGAAAAGAATGAGTGAAGTAATTCTGTGGTTTTTTTTCCTAATTCTGTTACTAACACGTATCCTGAAGGCCGGAGACTTCCTCAGTTTGAAGTCGCACCCAGTTCAGTGCAGCGGAGGGGAACGTGCCATGGGGAGATGCAACAGGAGAACCCAGCGGCTTCAAAAACAGCGGTAAGGGCTCTCGGCCATCAGCCCAGGCCACCTCTGGTATCTTCCTAACCCGTGAGAGCAGCCACAACACCTAACTTCTGCTCGTGTCCTGAATCAGTGGTGTCACCAGCACACTTGGCCACGCAGAGTGTAGAAAATGTGCACGTGCTCCTGTGTCACACGGGGAAATTTGGGTTAAGAGCTTTTTTGGAAATGTGGATTCCCAGGTTGGACATTGGTTTCTCCAGGTTCTTTAGTAAACTACTGCCTTGCTGGCTCCAGCACATGGAGGACATTAGGACCGTTAAGGTCTGCCGGGCTTGACTCCCTGCACCCCTCCCTGACATTTTTTGGCTGTGGTTTGATTTTGCTTACTGAGTTGAAAATTTTTTCCAGAGCTAATTGAGTGAATTGAACATAGTAAAGCCTAGATTATTTGCTGACATTTTACACTATACCCTGGGATAAAGATCAGGGAGGTAAAGGGTGATGAACACAGCCTGTGTGAGCTGTGCAAGAGCAGCAGATCCCTCTCTTGCCTCCTCTGCATCCACTCTCCATAGTTCACGAGGGTTACAGCCTTATTCTGTGTCTGAACAGCGTGCCAAGGACTGAAGCAATGCACATAACCTACCAATTTCCTCACATTTTGCTTGTTGCCAGCTGCAGCCAAGGTTTTGGGGGTTTTTTTTCCCCCTTTTTCATTGCAGAAAAACCGGTTGCAGCAAGGTGGCAGCGATTGGCAGTTACTGAATGAATTTTGCATTGATGG